CTCTCCAACAGCAACAACAACAACAAAATCAAATAAAAAAAGGGTCTTAAAAAGAGAGATTTGCAATCTAATAAAAATGTCCATTAGACACGATGCTATGAAGTTGTTTTCACAATAGCATCCCTGGAAGTGATATTATTTCAATTCACCAATGAACAATTTTTACCATTATGGCAGCCAAAATGAATAATTGAATTATTAAGGACTGTTATGAGATAAAAAGGAGGCTCAGGTGCTTTAATTTTCTGAAACCATGCTAATTTCTTGACAAATTTCCAGGAAATTTCAATGAGAAAAGTCAATTTTGTGCCATGTTTGGGTGATGATTGTCTGTCTCTTTGAAAGGACATGTTGATCTACCATAACTCTTGTTTTCCAGGAAACAGGCAGTACCCAAATAGACACGAAGCTTGCCTTTAGAATCCTTTTTGAATACAGCAAAAATGGTGCATTCTTGAGAAAAACAGACACTTGTGTTGTGCCCTCTAGGCATCACGCAACAGCCTCTAAAACTAAGTTACTCCACATGGTCACTGTATTGGTAACAAGGTCTAGTGGCTTCTCTGTGTTACAGACACTAAAAAAGGTTCTTACATTGTCACTGAATTGAAGGGTTAAGTGCACAACATCACTTGTCAGGCTGTTGTTTTCCTTTTCTTTCAGTCCAAAGTAGCTTTGCCATACACAGTTACAGCTGTTTTGTTTAAGTTCAAACCTTATGGTGATAGTGACACTTAACACACCAAACGTGTATGCTGGCACTGACAGTACTGCAACATGCCCTGAAATGTTGTCACCTTTGAACTGTGTTGTCTAACTTTGATCTATACCACCCATCAAACTAACAATTTGAACTCTGGATTTTTTACAACAACATTGGCTGGTTTAAAGGTACAGACAGTACATTTTTGACTATTCATCACTCTCTGTCGTCTCATCCTGTTGTGAATGTGTTTCCACCTATCACCGAATGCATTGCCGCCTCAAACAGCATAATTTCTGAAATGGTTTGGAAGCTTTAGCCCCATCAAGCAAGTTGATGCAAAAATGCTGTTTATACTCTCACAAGAGACCGTTTTACGTCATGAAATGATGCTTTTTGGGGAGCACCTTGTACCAGTCACGAACCTCACGAAATCATCGAGGGCATCTGCATTGCAATTCTTGATGAATGTCTGGAGCAACTGGAATACCCTTTGAGTATTCTTGTCCTCGGAGGCTGGGAAATGAAGGCTACCGGCCACAGAATCATTAATTAGTATGCCTTGGTAGACAAAGCATTCTTCAAACATCTCCGGCTTTCTTTGTATTTCATCTAACAAACCAGGGATTGACAGCCCTTTTCTAAATTGATCAAGGATCGCCTTCTTCTCCACTAGAATGATGTAAAGCATTAGAGACTGGAGGACATCGATCTTGTTATCAACCTGCAAGAACACATTATTTTATTGCTTTATTACTGTAAATTATTTACAGCAACAGGTTACAATATCATTGTAACCTGTTGCTTGAATTATTTGTGACAAGCATGGTGCGGGGCACACTGCTTGACTACAAGTAATCGATCAGCATTTCTATATTTTAACAAAACTGCTTTTTTTCACAGTTAACCAACAATTTAACGGACCTCCAACCTGCCAAATAGAAATTTCTTTGGCTCTATTTAAACCATGTGGCACTTAGCAGAAAACACATACAGCTAATTGTAGTGTTAACTAAATGTGCCCTATCTAACTTGTTACTACATAATGAATTAGGTTAGACTATGTGAAATACACTGGCGTGGTTATATTTCCATCCAAATTTTGCAACCATAGGTAGGCTCCATCTTCCATTGTTACACAACCTTCAGTTTGTAAATCTATCTAGTCTTGCTTTCTTTCTTTTTTGGTTAATATTTTATCATTCCTATGGAATGCTGTGTAATCTGGTCATTCTGTTTCAAGCTGTGTAATGTTCTCTTTACTACTTTGTATTATCATTTGATGTAACATAAATCTTTGCCAACTGTGGGACACTTTTTCAAGAATCTAGTCATTACTGACCTCAACAGCTCTGGATCAGATGCAAGAAATAGTATCATAGGCTTGTTTGTCTGGTATGTGGCAAGGAAAGGTTGGACATCTAGTGCCAAGGAGATCCAGAAATGGTGCTTCGCATTGAGCAACTTGTCAAAAGTGAGTGCTTTGGCAACATACTGATATCCTTCACGTTTCTTTGGTGCTGTGTTTTCCAGTTCTGCTTGTCTACAGTATTGTCTAATACGTGGGAGAAGTGTGAATGACTTGCCAGGAATTGGGAGGTTCTCTAACCAACTACGGGCACCCAACAAAGGAGAATTGGAATGTAAGTAAACGCAGATAAATGTGATTATAACTTGCCTATTAATTCCTTTTTATATTATCAATATCAACCTTATACATTCTTAACAATAGATGATCTATTTTCTCATTTGTTTGGTCTAGAGGTTTCAACTAGGTCCCAAGCTTCAGAAGAAAGCTTTTAAACCTGGGTCATTTTTGGCATTTCACTCCAAGGCAAATAGTTGGGGTCATATTTTGCTTGATTTCGTCTTTGCAGCTACATCTAGCAACTAACTATTACTTTCAGGAAAAACAAGAGGTGTTTACCTATAACTAGATATACAATTCATTGGTATGTGTGGCAAATCAAACATTTGACAGCGCTGCCAAAAAATGCCTAATTTTCAATTTTCAAGACGTGCAAACTGGCCGTGGCAGGAGGAAATACTCAGCACCCCCCAGCGCGGACAGAAAATTATTGTAAATCAAAGCAAAGCTATTTTAGTTATAGTCTCAGACTACGAGTAGTCCCCCATTTTTCCTCAGAGATAGTAGAGGTGCTAAATGCGAGCGTGCGTGAAAATCACCCCACGCGAGAAAAGGCGACACGCGGCAGGGACAGAGAAAAATAAGGGACTACAGACAAAGCCCAAGCTTTTGAACTAATGCGTTGCTCTCACAACGCAAAACTCTGATTGGCTCTTCCATGGAAATCTGTCAACATCTGTCAAAAACACGTCAGCCACTATCAACACTCGACATAATCACAATTTACAGAACAAACAACTAGAGCAGGACAAATAACAGCACAGAACAATTAACTAGAGTTGCTCTTGTAGAAGCAACTAAGCAGAGAGCCAACCCGGCAACTGGTGATGTTCGCGTGGGGAACCGAAACCATGGTCTTGCCTGATCACGAAGTGGGAATAACAGAACGGTCGCAAGGCTGTTAAGCTAATTCAAAAGTTATCACCAAGGGAGGAACTACGTGCTCCAGTCCAAAGACTCACATTATCTCCAGAAAAACAAGCGGCAGTTAAAATTCATGAGCAGTCATGACTGAGTCACATCGCAATTCTCTATAGTTAATGTAGTTTTAGTTTAAGCTGCAATCCATTCTTTGAGATTTGGATATTACCATCCGTCCTGCCAAANTCAGTATGAAATAAGCGGCAAAAAGCACATTTGCTCAGTCAAAACGTTTTCCTCCAGAGCAGAATCTACCCGTCAGAGAAAAAAAAATTCATTGGAACAAGCAGCGTTGTGGCATGCATGCATGCATGCATGTCTGGGAAATATGCATGCTGCCTCAGCACTTTTTCACGGTCAAACTTCCAGTAACAACAACATTGAAAAAACCAACACTTGGATGGATAAAACAGCGGATACTTAACTGTTCTTATTTTGGCCCTTTGCAAGCACTGGCAAAGCATAAGCTGAGTCTGCTGCTACTGTTGTTATGCTAGCATTTTCATCATATCCTCCTTTTGACTCAGCTCCTTTCGTCTCAACTCCAAATCCTCCTTTCTCAGCACACTCTCTCTTTCTGACGTTTCTTTCAGAAATTGCACCACTTCCGAAGTTGATCTTCTTCCTTTCTTTGTCGTCTGGGCTTTTTCGTCTTGTTTCTCAGCATTCCTTTTCTTGGTTTCACCCAAACGCTCAACTGCTCAGCCGCAGTGCTCTTCCGCTGCGCCTTTTCAGTTTTCTTGTTATCATCTTGCGGGCTTCTCGCATCCGTGGCCGCTTTCTCTTTTTCTATGATTTCTTCTAACACTTTCTCTAGCTTTGTTTCCTGACAGTTTATTCCAGAGGCAGCTTCCTCCATTCTCATTTTCGCTTTGGAATTTTTGTTGAAGTAATGTCAACCTGTCTCTGACACTTCTCTTTGATACTTTAAACGTAGGATAACCAGAGGCATTTAAATTGTTTGCTATTTCGTTCCATGAGTCTCCTCTGTCCTTACTAGGGTAAGGATGTTTCCAAGGTTCAACAACTAAAACGTCTTCGCAAAGATTCAAGTCATGCAGTTCTGTCCACTCCATTCTAAGGAAATTCACATCAAAATGTAAGTTAATTTTTCGGAAAAGTAGACTCTAAAATGACCTTAACGGCACGAAAATTTACTGCTCAAGTTAAAACAATTGTAAAAGATTGCATATAGGTAAATAAAACAAAACAAGTAATCACTTTGGTAGTTCTCGATTTCATCTTCGTAACTTGAATGTTTTGCTGACAAGATGTAAATACCACAAAGCCCGAATTTTTGACCGTTTACAAAGTTTTCATGTTTCAAAATCATAGTAAGATTCAATACTGTGCAAAGATTAGAAACTAAGGAATATCTAACTTTCATTTCAAAAGCCAAACATAAATTCTCTTCCTAAACAAGATGAAAATACATAAATTTATACTCACAATCTCACAACGTTCGGCCTGGTTCGCAACTTCACGTGGATTATGAGTGAAGCATGCGCAGTAGTGCGCTAAGTGGTATTTTCACTTGCGGTTGTCGTTCTCAGGGCTTCTCGTCGACCTTGCTTAAGGTCCCTATTATATGAGACTAAACAATAGGTAAATGTAACAATCGTTTGTGCAATTATATAGCTGAAGAACTGATTACTATATGTATTCATGCTCTAGCTGGAACTAAGAGGTGATAAAAATTTCAAAAGAAGCTATTTCATTGAATTAACCTTATTCTCTGTCCCTTCTCATCGATTCGTCCAGTTCCATCTTCTGTTGCAGGAGAAGGTCTCTCCTCTGATATTTGCTGTCACAGCTGTCATAAGGATGAGATAAAAATTACTCTTGACAAATATCATTAACTCTGGGTTGTAAATGGAATCAAACTTCTCCAGTGACTATAGCTGTACCAACCATTACATCTTCTTACTAGATGTACATGTATGTTTGTAAACTTGAGCTTTTGACACTGTCACAGATAATTAGAACAATAACAATAATAACGACACTAACAATGATCATCAACAAACCGGTCAGATCTTAATGAGACCAGGGCTGCCTCTCCCCTCTCTGTTGCTTCTGTCATTCCTCTGATATCTTCAAGGGACTGCCCTGTAATTGCATAAAGGAAACTGACTTACAATCCTTATCATCCTTTCTTTACTGGATTCTCTTGTTAATTCACTGTGGTCGTGAAATTACATTTCCTGATGTTTATGTAATAAGTTGTTTTGGAGGAAATTAAAATGACGTGTAAACTATGCTGTTTAGTTGCAGAAAATATTATAAGCTAGTCATGGTCTGTGAAGAAAACAGTTCAAAATGTCAATTAATTTATATACATGTAGTGATTTATTACATTAATCAAGATGCCACGTCACCTGGTTGCCCTTTGACTAGTTTCCAATTTACCTATATTCTTTATAATGTATATTTTTTGAAGGTGCAAGCTTTTGATCAGTAAGACAATCCATCGCTTTTGTCTACAGTTTCTATGCACTAAAAAAATTGATTTTATATAAATGAAAAAAAGAAATAATAACGGAGTTCTTCAACGTGATCAAACGCTTAATTGACCATAGACTCGACTACTTAATATGCACTGATAGTTAGGCAATGACCATTATTAGTTTATAGATAATTTGGAAGTTTATCACTACATGATACATGTACCTTTGATATGGACGATTTTGTATTTCTTTGCAATGAAACAAAAATTTGGGGACCACAATAAGAATTGTGAGGTGTTTGTTGTTGTCCCCTCAACAGCACCTCTGAATCCAGTTCTTGTGGATTGCCTCGCAGGTGAGATTAGAAAAATTCCTCAACAAAAGATTATATGTTGTACCCTAGATAAGACACAAAAACCCCTCTTTCGATCACCTCTCTTTAACTAAAAATGGCAGCCATACATGTACAGTTTTACATGTCTTATTTAACATAAATTTATGTACTTACAATCTGAATAGTTATTTGTTCTATTTTTCACTTGGTAAATACAATTGCAAACAGAGATAGAAATGAAGTTCATGTAATACAAAATGCTAAGGCACAAAATTGTAACAAATTTCTTGACGACTTGATCTCAACCATATTAATCACCTTGTCTTCCATTTGTTGAGTCTGCCATCCCCAGCCAAAAATAGACATCATAAGCTTTGGAGATGCCACTCAGCAGGGTGTAAAGGAAGGGGGGGTCTAGATCACGTTTCACGAAAAATAAAACGGTCCTTTCACAATTCACGAAAAATAAAATAGGCATTTCACGTTTCATGGAAAAAAAGGAAAACGTTTTTCCTTAAACAAAAGTTACATACCGTTTCATTTTGAAAAATTACGTCCAAAGCAAAGCCTTGTTTGTTTTTTCACTATTCCTTCACGTTGCATTCTGCATGATGCAAAAAGGCAACCGAGTTCCTCGTTCTGCATATCACGAGTGGCACCATCTTCCTCCACTCCAAAATTATCAGAGTCGTTGTCGGAGGAGTTGTCATCATATTCGGAGAGCTGATCGTCTCCTGGGTCCCCCGATGTAGGCGCGCCTTTTCTTCCCTCTTCCTTTAAAAATTCGGGTTCTACTCTTTTAACTGGTGCAAACTCTAGCCATTCTCCCCGGTGGATAGCAGTCTGATACATGTTCAGAGGAAGAGTGCCAGCCTTATACTTGGTGGTTTCTTGTCGGATGGTGCATTGTCTAATACAGTTACCGTGTGTGTTTGCCCAGTTTCTCATCAGATCTTGGTTAGCTGAACTCATGACAGGCAGGTTTTGTTGGGTCATCCTTGGAAAATCTTGAAAGTGAATTTGTGTCGAGGTTGCAGGATAATACGATGTTGGGTGTGTGAAGTAAAAAGAGGACCACTGCGTCATTCTTTTTGCTGATTCCAGGGCTGTAGTCTCAAAATCCCTGGCGTAGTGTAACTGCTTACATATTTGATGTTTGAAATGGGAAACTGCTAGGAGGCTCTCGACTTTCACGGTGAGGAGAGCTTCAGGCTTAACTGTAAGTTCTGGATTTATTTTTGCGATGTTGCTCTGTAACCTTGCCAGTCCCTGATTTATCATGTTAACAGACCTGATTGTCTTGCTTGCAACAGTTCCTTCAGGTCCATTGGTCTCCTTGCTGGTGCCCAGTAATATCTGCACTGATTGAACAGTGCCTTGAAGGTACCCAGAAACGGATTTCATCATCTCTCCAGCTTCTTGCAGTGTTGAGGTGTGAGTTCGCTTGTGCTTCTGGTGCACAATATCCCACTAGTTTCAGCTGAGATCCCTGAACAAACTTTAAGAATCTGTTATAAGTACCCTGTAAATACCTCAGCACTTGCTTAGCCATCCCATAATGTGATTTCATTGGCAATGTTTCAAAATCATAGTAAGATTCAATACTGTGCAAAGATTAGAAACTAAGGAATATCTAACTTTCATTTCAAAAGCCAAACATAAATTCTCTTCCTAAACAAGATGAAAATACATAAATTTATACTCACAATCTCACAACGTTCGGCCTGGTTCGCAACTTCACGTGGATTATGAGTGAAGCATGCGCAGTAGTGCGCTAAGTGGTATTTTCACTTGCGGTTGTCGTTCTCAGGGCTTCTCGTCGACCTTGCTTAAGGTCCCTATTATATGAGACTAAACAATAGGTAAATGTAACAATCGTTTGTGCAATTATATAGCTGAAGAACTGATTACTATATGTATTCATGCTCTAGCTGGAACTAAGAGGTGATAAAAATTTCAAAAGAAGCTATTTCATTGAATTAACCTTATTCTCTGTCCCTTCTCATCGATTCGTCCAGTTCCATCTTCTGTTGCAGGAGAAGGTCTCTCCTCTGATATTTGCTGTCACAGCTGTCATAAGGATGAGATAAAAATTACTCTTGACAAATATCATTAACTCTGGGTTGTAAATGGAATCAAACTTCTCCAGTGACTATAGCTGTACCAACCATTACATCTTCTTACTAGATGTACATGTATGTTTGTAAACTTGAGCTTTTGACACTGTCACAGATAATTAGAACAATAACAATAATAACGACACTAACAATGATCATCAACAAACCGGTCAGATCTTAATGAGACCAGGGCTGCCTCTCCCCTCTCTGTTGCTTCTGTCATTCCTCTGATATCTTCAAGGGACTGCCCTGTAATTGCATAAAGGAAACTGACTTACAATCCTTATCATCCTTTCTTTACTGGATTCTCTTGTTAATTCACTGTGGTCGTGAAATTACATTTCCTGATGTTTATGTAATAAGTTGTTTTGGAGGAAATTAAAATGACGTGTAAACTATGCTGTTTAGTTGCAGAAAATATTATAAGCTAGTCATGGTCTGTGAAGAAAACAGTTCAAAATGTCAATTAATTTATATACATGTAGTGATTTATTACATTAATCAAGATGCCACGTCACCTGGTTGCCCTTTGACTAGTTTCCAATTTACCTATATTCTTTATAATGTATATTTTTTGAAGGTGCAAGCTTTTGATCAGTAAGACAATCCATCGCTTTTGTCTACAGTTTCTATGCACTAAAAAAATTGATTTTATATAAATGAAAAAAAGAAATAATAACGGAGTTCTTCAACGTGATCAAACGCTTAATTGACCATAGACTCGACTACTTAATATGCACTGATAGTTAGGCAATGACCATTATTAGTTTATAGATAATTTGGAAGTTTATCACTACATGATACATGTACCTTTGATATGGACGATTTTGTATTTCTTTGCAATGAAACAAAAATTTGGGGACCACAATAAGAATTGTGAGGTGTTTGTTGTTGTCCCCTCAACAGCACCTCTGAATCCAGTTCTTGTGGATTGCCTCGCAGGTGAGATTAGAAAAATTCCTCAACAAAAGATTATATGTTGTACCCTAGATAAGACACAAAAACCCCTCTTTCGATCACCTCTCTTTAACTAAAAATGGCAGCCATACATGTACAGTTTTACATGTCTTATTTAACATAAATTTATGTACTTACAATCTGAATAGTTATTTGTTCTATTTTTCACTTGGTAAATACAATTGCAAACAGAGATAGAAATGAAGTTCATGTAATACAAAATGCTAAGGCACAAAATTGTAACAAATTTCTTGACGACTTGATCTCAACCATATTAATCACCTTGTCTTCCATTTGTTGAGTCTGCCATCCCCAGCCAAAAATAGACATCATAAGCTTTGGAGATGCCACTCAGCAGGGTGTAAAGGAAGGGGGGGTCTAGATCACGTTTCACGAAAAATAAAACGGTCCTTTCACAATTCACGAAAAATAAAATAGGCATTTCACGTTTCATGGAAAAAAAGGAAAACGTTTTTCCTTAAACAAAAGTTACATACCGTTTCATTTTGAAAAATTACGTCCAAAGCAAAGCCTTGTTTGTTTTTTCACTATTCCTTCACGTTGCATTCTGCATGATGCAAAAAGGCAACCGAGTTCCTCGTTCTGCATATCACGAGTGGCACCATCTTCCTCCACTCCAAAATTATCAGAGTCGTTGTCGGAGGAGTTGTCATCATATTCGGAGAGCTGATCGTCTCCTGGGTCCCCCGATGTAGGCGCGCCTTTTCTTCCCTCTTCCTTTAAAAATTCGGGTTCTACTCTTTTAACTGGTGCAAACTCTAGCCATTCTCCCCGGTGGATAGCAGTCTGATACATGTTCAGAGGAAGAGTGCCAGCCTTATACTTGGTGGTTTCTTGTCGGATGGTGCATTGTCTAATACACTTACTGTGTGTGTTTGCCCAGTTTCTCATCAGATCTTGGTGAGCTGAACTCATGACAGGCAGGTTTTGTTGGGTCATCCTTGGAAAATCTTGAAAGTGAATTTGTGTCGAGGGTGCAGGATAATACGATGTTGGGTGTGTGAAGTAAAAAGAGGACCACTGCGTCATTCTTTTTGCTGATTCCAGGGTTGTAGTCTCAAAATCCCTGGCGTAGTGTAACTGCTTACATATTTGATGTTTGAAATGGGAAACTGCTAGGAGGCTCTCGACTTTCACGGTGAGGAGAGCTTCAGGCGTAACTGTAAGTTCTGGATTTATTTTTGCGATGTTGCTCTGTAACCTTGCCAGTCCCTGATTTATCATGTTAACAGACCTGATTGTCTTGCTTGCAACAGTTCCTTCAGGTCCATTGGTCTCCTTGCTGGTGCCCAGTAATATCTGCACTGATTGAACAGTGCCTTGAAGGTACCCAGAAACGGATTTCATCATCTCTCCAGCTTCTTGCAGTGTTGAGGTGTGAGTTC